ATAGTCTTTGAGACAGGGTCTCCCTGTAGCCCCAGCTGTCCTGGAACTCACTATGTAGACCAGGCTGGCCTTGAATTCACAGAGATCCACCTGCCTCTGCCTCCCAAGTGCTGGGACTACAGGCGTGCACCACCACGCCCAGCTAGATAAATATTTTTAACTGAATTTTTGCTCTTCTCATACAATATAGTTTGATGGTACTTAGATCCCTCCCCTCTCCACACCTCTGCCCACACTCCCTGCCCAATTTCATATATTATATGAATCTGATTTGTGTCTTCACAAATGCCCCTCAGTGTGAATACATCCACTGGGCCCACCAAGGGTCCCAAAGATTCGAAGATCATTGCAGAAGAGGAGGTGGAAAGATTGTAAAGATAGCAGGTTATTCAAATGAACTCACAACAATGGTGACAGCCTGCACAAGTCCTATTAAGTTCAAATCAGACAATATCCCAGCATAGACATGGGGAAGTGGGCAAGAAATCCCAACCCAGCGTAAGGAACATTTGGCCATTGGAAAGGGGAAAGGTAATGTCTTACAAGGATAGATAAATATTTTTAAAAATAGAATTTTAGAAAATGTTTACAAGATTTCAGTTTCATTTTTGTGGGTTTTTGGGGAGAGAGTGTCGTTTTGTTTTGTTTGTGTTTTTTTGACACAGGGCCTCATGTTACCTAGGCTCCTCTCAAAGAAATTCTGATCCTCCTGCCTCTACCTCCCAAGTGCTAGGAGAATGTGCAGTGCCACAGCTGGTACATGCAGTGCTGGGGATCAAACCCAGGGCCTTAGCCCATGCCCAGGGCCTCATGCATGCTGGACAATGCTATACCAACTGAGCTGCATCCCCAGCCCACAAGATTTCTTCTTAAATCACATGAAGGTCAAGTATATTTCCTTTGATAATTACTTGCTTAACTCATGTGTTTCTAAAAATACAATTATGGTCTTTAGTCTGAGATTTTGTTTTAATTATTTTCCTTTTAACTCATGACCAAGTAGTCATGTAATAGCAATATTTATGAATGGGATTCATGTTGGGTTAAAAACAACCCAACATACTTACTATAGAAAGAATCTAACACCTCAACATTTAATTATATGCCTGCAGGGCCCAGACTAAACCAAGAACATTTTCACCCTGCAAATCGTAAGGAAGTAGGGCACACAGTGTGAGCCCTCAAGAAATATAAGCTGGAAGGATTGATTATGAACCTTCACAGGCATGATTTGGGCTACTTCTGTAATTACTTTCTCAAACTGAGATTCTCTGGACAGGATGAAGTGGGAGGAAATTGCTCAGGTGCTGTGGAAAGCCCTCTGAAGGAGAAATGGAAGTCACGGACACAAGAAGGGACTAAGGTGTAGAAAGGACAGGGGTGATCAGAGGGGATGCCATGTTGCTGTCCTGTTCCCCTTCCACCAGCAAAAGGTTGGGCTTCTGCAGGAGAGAACCCGGCACCACACAGCAACCAGAACCTGCCACATGTAGAACCTTCCCTCCTGTAGAACAGCCCCTAACCTTTCCCCACAGGGAAAGGCCTGGCCATCTGGGTCTCTTGAGGGCAGGGCTCCAGAAACCAGGGCAGCCTGGGCTGCAAGGTGAGGTGATTTATTTACATGAGGCAGGGAAGGCTTGAAGACACAGAGTAATCCATCTGCTTTAGCAACCAAATGGATCCCTTCACCACCTCCTCCTCTGGAAGCAGTCAAGGCAGGAGGTTGGGTGAGGTGACCTTCCAAAGCTGAATCTGTGCTTCTAAAAATAGAAGCATCCTCAGAGAATCTAGCAGAGGAGGGGAGGCTGTGGATGTTGAGGGCCAGAACCCAAGTCCCCAGAGCACTGTCAGTATGAAACTGTATTAATTAGACACAGGCACCCAGCTCAATAACCTCAGGTGTCTCTCAGAAATTGAAACTAAATGAACTGGCTTTTTTTTCCCCCTCTTCCTGGTTATACTCTCCCAGGGCTAAAAAAAGGAGAAAAACATTCCATCTTCTGACCTACTTGGATGGCTGTATATTGCCCAAGGAGCATCTTCCCTGGCAGAGGGATTGGGGGCTCCTTAAGACACACTCAGGAGATGTGGCTAAGTGGAACCCCAGGGGTTAGACAGCAGGGCTGCCTGAGGTCTGAGATTTTCTCCCCTGGAGACTGTGCAGGACTGGCAGGTGTCCAGTGATGTGGGAGTGTAGGGTCAGGGGCTGCTACCCCTAGGTTCATGCATTATCTTGTCCAGAGAGGCTAGTAGATTCCAGGGTCCGATGGAGCTGTGTGCTGCTGGTCTGCAGAGGTTAATGGCACTATTCTGAGGATGTGTATGGCAGTGTGTATGGGGTGGGGGTATGCAGGAGTGTGGGGGGATAGTGTGGCTCATTTGAGGTGACCATGTAGAGGAACAAGCATCTATCTGTGCTGGTGTGGGGCCCTGCTTGAAGGACAGCAGGAGTCGAGAAGGGCTGTGTGTAGAGTCCCCAAGCTCTGCTGGGGTGAGCAGCTCTGCGGGACGCCTCTCTGCATTGGTTTGTGCTGAGAACTCTCTCTGGATATGAGCAGAGCCACATGGGATGCTCTGTGGATTATTAAAGCTGTGGGGCTTTTGCCCTGGAGGCTGTATTCTCTGTATTCTGGGCTCTGGAAACCTGTGTGAAGCTGCGCATGTGGGCTGGGTGCTTGGTGGCTAGAGGCTGTGGACAGCCTCCTCAGCTCTGTCATCCAAAAGGAGCCACACAGGGGTGTAGTCTTCATGTGCCAAGAGTAAGAGATGCCAGGAGCTCAAGAGCTGAGCAAAAGGAGCAGAGGGTCACTCCAACACTGCCCTGCAGCTGAGCCTCCTGCACCCCAGCCAAAGACACTTTCTAATAGAGCTTCGGTTTGTGCTTTCTTAACAGGACAACGTGGATCTGGGCGAGCTTATGTTTTCCCTCTGTTATCTTCCAACGGCTGGCAGGCTGACCATTACCATTATAAAAGCAAGGAATTTAAAGGCAATGGACATAACAGGAGCATCAGGTGGGACGTTCTTCTGTTCCTTGTCTGGTTCTAATTCAGTACATTATGAAGTTCCTAATACAGCACATTGATGCTGGAACCCAACTGCTTAGATTTAACCCCTCTCCTACTTCCTAGTGTTATGTGACCTCATCCACTCTAGGCTTCGAATTCCCATCTGTAAAACAACAGTAAGATTAGTGTTGTGTCATTGAGTTTTTGAATGATTGAGTTAGTATGTATAAAGTTTTTATTATTTTTATTTTATGTGTATGAATTTGTATTGCCCGCATATATGTAAGTGCACCCATTTTGTACAATGCTCACAGAGGTCAGAAGAGAGCATTGAATCTCCTGGAACTAGAGTTATGGACAGTTGTTAGCCACCATGTGAGGGCTGGGAATGGAACCCTGGTCCTCTACAAGAGCAGCTACTACTGTTAACCACTGAGCCATCTCTCCAGCCCCCATATGTATAGAATTATGAAACCATGTGTGATATGTATATAAGATGATCATAATGTTGTTGCTGCTGCTGTTGTTATATGTATGTACATATGTGTGCAAGTGAGCATGCATGTATGTGCATGCATGTAGAGACCAGAAGTCAATATTGGGTGTCATTCCTCAGGAGTTGTCTACCTTGTGTTTTGAGACAGGGTCTCTCACTGAGACCTGGGCTTGCTGATTAGGCTAGATTAAGCAGCTGGCAAGCTTCTGCAATCCTCCTAGCCCCACCTCCCCAGCACTGGAATTGCAAGTACATGCCACTGTGCCCAGCTTTATGCAGAGAACTCAAGTCTTCATGCTTGCATGAAGCACATTACTGACTGACACTCCCAAATATATTATATTCTGTGCTTTAGACTCTGGGCTATTTCTAGTAAGAAATAAAGGTATGGATCCTCTGGCTTAGAGTCCCTTCTAGAAGGGGTGAAGAGACTGAACATCATGCATTTAGGCAGAGAAATAGAGGCCTCTTCTTTGATGTGGAGGATAGTGATGTGCTAATGGGACAGAAGTGCCTCCTCTAGAGCCAGAGTCACTGGTCTCCCTATAACAGCTATGCTGAGTGGGCCTGTGTCCTCCCTCTCCTTGGTGAATGAACTTCTCTTCCCTTTGCAAACTCACTGCAGATGGCTCTGGGGTTCCCTGTACTTAAGGCCATTGACCCCCCACAGGCCTCCCCTGTCTTCTAGGAATGCAGGGCCCCTTGAACTATAAGAATCCCCCTTCTTAAAGGCCCAATCTTTTTGCAAAGATTCCCAGGTGCTAAGGCCTATTTCCCCCACCTTGAAAATGCCTAAGCATTTCTCTTCCTGTCACAGGCAAGCAGGGCCTGAATTCTAGCTGGAATGTTTTCTAATTTGGTAGCAGATGTTTTCACCCTATTTTTAAATTTCATGAATTTTGAGGAGACAGTGTCCTGTGCTTTTTCTTGAATGAATAACTTAATTATCCTAAGTAGTTACTGCCCACATCGCATATCACATGAATTAAAATCCTCACTTTAGTCTCTAGACAGTGACAGGAGCTCTACCCCCATAGGCCACACACACTGATGGTCTACATTATCCTTGAGGTGACCCTGCTTCTCCTGTCTCTGCAGATCCCTATGTGAAAGTCTCACTGATGTGTGATGGCCGGAGACTGAAGAAGAGGAAAACATCCACAAAGAGGAACACGCTTAATCCCGTTTACAATGAAGCCATGGTCTTTGATGTCCCTCCTGAGAGCATCGACCAGATCCACTTGTCCATAGCTGTCATGGACTATGACCGGTGAGATGCCTGGAGCTCTTTCCCTGTGCACGTCCACTGTTCTCTGGGCAGGAAGGGCAGATTGGGGAGCAGCCATAGGCTCAGCTGGAGTCCCCGGACACAGAGTGAAGGAGTACCGTGTGAAAGGCAGACGGACAGAGTCACTTCTTCCAAACTACTCTGTGGTGTTGATCTCTCCAGTGCTTCTCGGCTGACCCTGTCCTCTCTGTTTCATATCTTTGTCTCCCCTTCCATGCCCCACCTACTTCCCCTTCCCTTCTCTGCTCCCTTCCTGGTATCTCCACGTGGAGAACTAGAGCCCTGTAAGTCTTATTTTCCATCAAGCAGTCCTGACTACCTTTAGTGGAAGGCTTCTTCCCAAAACAGCAGAATGATTACTTCAGCCAGACCATCAACATTTCTAAATATATAACTTCAATCTTTTTTTTCCTTCTTGCACTGTGTTTAATAAAGATCATTTCCATCCACTTAAGTCTGAAAGCAAACACAGAAATGTTCTCTTGAAAATGCTAGAATCAGTATGGATGACAGGGTGCATTAAAATGTATAAGATGCTAGACTTTTTAATTAATACAGCACAGAAGAGATATTTATAGCCTACATTGTAGCCAATTGTGTATTTAAAGGACAGATTTGAAAAACAGTCATTTTAATATGCAAAGGAAGTACCAACAGGGAATTATACATGTTAAACCAGTCATTAGACTGAAATGCAAAGTCTCTTTTTAATTAGAAACCTCCCACGTGGTCTGGGCACAATTATAAAAGAAAAAAAATCAGTCTGACTCCTAATATAATCTTACAAATAATATCCGTAGCTAAAAAATTTCCCATCTACTTCTGAAATATCAGTACAACAGCTTCAATGACCCAAAGGCTCCTGCAACAGATACCAGCACAAGGCATAACTGACTTCTGACACGGTTGCCCATGAGTGCGACAGCCCAGGTTGAGCATAGACCTGGTCCTATCTTCTCTGGACAACACACAACACTGTAGTGCCAGGTCCCAGGAAATGATGCTGCCCACCAGCTGTGGAAGGCTCAGCCAGCACTTTCCCAAGCGATTGCCAAGTTCTCTGCTTGGACAAATCTGATTATGTGATCTCTGCCTCAGTGCAATTATCAGTAAACTCATGAATCTGGCCTGTAAAAATCCATGGCAGAATCCACAGGGCCCCTGCATGCATCTGATTTGAATGAGTATAGTTCAAATGTCCCAGACACACCATCCCCAGCCTGTCACCCCTTTACTACCCCACATAACGAGTATAAAAACTAGTCAGCTTTGCTGGGAGGAAAAAGAAAGTATACCAAAGGGTTAACGATAGACCATATCCTTCCAACTATTTCAAAGGACTTCATTTGTTTCCCCCTAAGGAAAATGTAAAATGAACCAAAGTAGAGACTGACTCAGGGCAAGTTTCAGAATATTAGCCCTAAGGTTAAAGGAGCTAAACATTTTCACATTTGGAAACTCAAGCTGGCTCAAAGAACCAAAACTGAGTGTAGAAAGAAAGAGAGGGAAGCATAAGATCCTAACAGTGTTCTCTAATGTAGGAGCATGCAGATCTAGGAGCCTCTCCACTAGGCCCCACTCAGGCTGCAGACTCAGAGCCACACCTCTACTGCCTTTGATTGACTCTTGCAGGAATCTGAGTGGTCATTATAGCAAGACAGCCCTTTCTGATGGTTTCTTCTTCACTGAGTGGATCTGGAAGCCAGCTTAGTCTCCAGAAGGGGCATCCTTAGCAAACACCAGGGGATAGGGTTCTTGGGACCAGGTGAACCCATGTCAGTGTTAGGAAAGTCAGGTACAACATTGAACCCTAAATCTTTTGTGCTCTTTAGCTTTGCCTGTGGGGTTTTGTTTTTGGTTTTTTGTTTGTTTGTTTGTTTTTGGTATTTTTGAGACAGGGTCTCCCTGTAGCCCCAGCTTTCCTGGAACTCACTGTGTAGACCAGGCTGGCCTTGAACTCACAGAGATTCACCTGCCTCTGCCTCCCAAGTGCTGGGACTATAGGAGTGAGCCACCATGCCAGGCCCTGCCTGTGTTTCTAAATTAGAGAATAATTAAAAAAGTAAAAAGAATCTACTAGATTCCCCCATTTCCTCTGTCAATTTGAATAATTATTGCTTTTACTTTTACATACTAAAATTTTAAGAAAAAACTATTATGGGCCATTTTCACAGTGTAGGTCACAATGAGGTAATCGGCGTGTGTCAAGTAGGCAACGAGGCAGAGCGGCTGGGCAGAGACCACTGGAGTGAGATGCTGTCATATCCAAGGAAGCCCATTGCACATTGGCACTCTCTAGTGGAGGTAAGACCCCACAAGTCCTCTGCAAAAGAGAGTTTGTTTTACTGCTGAAATGTAAAAGCTGCTAAAAGCATGAGTGTACCAGGCTCTTCTGTCAACACTGGTGTCCATGGTGACATTTCCTGGGGCTGTTGGAACTTGCACAAAGTCTGAGGTTCATCTGTGCTCCCTATCAATCTAGGAGGTTTTGGCCAGAGTCGATTCCTCATTTTTATTGTCTTTTAAAAGGATTCTCTGATTTTGTGTTATGGTTTGGACTGGCTTTGGAACATCTGAAGGATACAGGTGTATATGGAATTTCAAGTCATTGTATAATGTCTTGAGCATGACTTCTAAAGAGTTTGAAATGGAGAGAGAGGAAGCCTGTATTCTAGGACTGGTTCTAGCCTGTGAGTCTTGGTATGTTGGTTAGCATCAGGTTCAAATATATTTAATAAAAACAGCAAAGCATAGAACAATAACACATAGAAAAGAAGTTTCTTTTTTAAAAAATATTTTATTATTTTTCTTTTTATGTGTATGAGTATATTGCCTGCATGTAAGTGTACCCATGTTGTGCAATGCCCGTGGAGGTCAGAAGAGGGTGTCAGAGCCCCTGGAACTGATGTTATGGATGGTTGTTAGCTACCATGTGGTTGCTGGAACTCAAACCCAAGTCCTCTGTAAGAGCAGTGTGGTGATTTGAATGAGAATGACATTTTGTCCCCAGTTGGTGACTCTGTTTTGGGAAGTCTTAGAAGGTATGGTCATGCTGGAGGAAGCACATCACTTGGGCTGGGCTTAGAGAGTTCTTAAGCCTCATGGGATCAGGTCTCCAGTCCCTCTCTGTGTCTTGTGCCTGCTTGAAGATGTGAGTGCTTATCTTTCTGCTCCTGCTCCAGCCACAGCCTGCCACCATGCCTCCCCACCACAATGGATTCTGATTCCTCTGGAACTGTAAGCTTAAATAAACTGTTTCTTTTATAAGTTCCCTTGGTCAGGGTGTTTTGCTCGGCCGAAAAAAAAAAAAGTAACTAATACAAGTAGCTAATGCTCTTAACCACTGAGCCATCTCTCCATACACCAAGTCTAAAGGAAGGCAATGTAGAGTACTGTGGTACCAGGATCAACAGAAACCTAGACTTTTCTTTCTGCTTAACTGTCCCTGTGTGCTTTATTTTTCCTTAAAGTTATCTCATTATGCAATATGACTGCTAAGCTCCAAACCATTGTATCTCCCATACCATAAAAATATGGAACAAGGCAAGCGTCAAAAAGAGCACACATTGTTTCTTTAAGAATTTTGCCTGAGATCTCATGCAACACTGCTCCTTCTGTGTGATTTAGCCCTAAGATTTGGAGGTGTCTAATTTCAGAGGAGGGTGATAAGCATACTCTTTTTATTGTGTGCCCAGCTAAATAGGGTTTTATTTGTGAAGAAGGGGAGAACACTTAACCTGAAAGCAACTGGTGTTGTCCCTTCCTCACACACGCCCTTCCCCGTGACATCTCATCCATTCTTCTGTTCAGCCTTGCTGATTAGCTCATCGCTCTGCTAATTTTCACAGAACTGATTTTTGATTCAGGAACATTTCTGAGGGTCAGAAAATCCCCGTAGACACATAAAGGGTAGATATGCAAGAGAAACCACTTTTCTTATATATCTTTTGGACACTGAGAGATAGAAGATGGTTTGGGGGTGGTAATTAGGTTAACATTCATTGGTTGGTTGGTTGGTTGGTTGGTTGGTTTGGTTGGTTGGTTGGTTGGTTGGTTGGTTGGTTGTTTGGTTGGCGTGGGGGAGGGCACATGTGTAAGGGTATATGTGTGGAAGTCACAGGACAACTTTTGAGAATTGGTTTGCTCCTTCCACCATGTGGTCCCTAGCATCAAATCAGGTTGTCAGGCCTAAAGGCAAGTTCCTTAACCCACAGAACCATCTCACCTGCCCAAGTTGGGTGCTCCAAGATGGAGCGTAAGTAAGTTATTAAGGAAGGGTTATGACAATGCACAGGAAAGGTGCTTATTAAGCTTTCAGGAGACTGTCCAGAGTCAGCAAAGAGACCAGGCTGCTGGAAAAGGGAACCCCAGGAAACAGGTGGGTATCATTTCCCAGGGGTATTGGGGTTCTAGGCAGAGAACTTTCCACTGTTCCCCAAGTGTAGGCAGCTGTTCCTTGCATAGCCACCTGAGAACGAAAGAGAATGCTGCCCGGTGTGGGTGAGTCTGATTGGAGTCAGCATGCAGGCCACTGTGGAGCAGAAGAGAGGCTCCCATAGGGGCCTGAAAACAAAGGGATGCCTCCTTTGTGGGATGCTGCAGAAAGGAGACTCCAAGCCTGGGGCTACAGGTTCTGTTCAAAGAGGGAGGAGGGTCCCCTAATTTTCAGGTTCCTGAACACGTCTCTGTCCCTGGGCCATAGAAGCTAAGACTTTCTTTTTCTGGCATCAAAATTAATCCCTAAGGGAGATCTAAAGATGTGGGAGCCACTTGAGAAGGCCCCAGGGGACCTGTGCCTTGCTTCTTCAGCTCCTGGGGGGATTCTCAAGGACCCCGTCTGTGTGCTTGAGAAATTGTCCAGGGGCTATTGGCAAGTGGCAGTGAGGGCCGTTGTAAACAACTTATTGTGTCCTTAGAAGTCACTGCTGATTTTAATTCTTCTTTGTGATTAGGAGTGTCAGAGCTCTGTGACAGGAACTGGGAAAGGATTAAGGACCACGGGTTTAGAGGGGCTGAGGCATGAACCCTGAGTCCTACACTAGCCGTGCTTCCTCGTGGTCTTGTCAGTCAGTAGCAGGGTGTGGCACACCAGTTTCCACAGCTGGTTGAAAGCTATGGCGGCTTCTTCCACTTCAGAGGCACGAATGTTGTGCAACTTTGGTCACCTGGGAAGTTCTCCTTAAACCCTGAGCTCTCAGCTTGCTGCAAGTCTGTGTTCAACAGTTATGTAAGTAAGAAATAAATGTCTTGAGGGTTAAAGTAATGAAACTTGGGAGTCATTTGTACAGTGGCTGGAATTACTTCAGCTAATACAATGGTCACTTCTTAACGGTTGCAGCGGAACTAAGGAAATGAAATGGCTGTGCCCCTGATAGGAAAGGCAAGGGAGGCCATTCCTTCCCTGTGGCCTCTTTGAAGTCATGTCCTGAGCTCCAGCTCCATCCCCAGAAGGGCAGTGATGCCTTCCCTTTTAAAAATAAACATTCAACTGTCAGAATTAGGGCAATGGTACCAGACGAGATGAAAGCAGGTGGGAGGTGGACCATGCTTTGTGGGCTGCTGTATGGTGGAGGGGGTCCTGGGCAGTGCTGGGAAGGTATGTGCTGGAGTTGAACAGACCTAGATTCACACTCTCATGCAGCTGGTTGCTTTTCTTCAGCTTCGGTTAACTCATCTGTAAAGTTGCCACAATAGTGCCTGTCTCTCAAGGGTAGTTGTGATAATTAAGGGTTTTGGAGGTATAGGAGGGTATGAGAGTTGAGGCAAAGTCTCGTGTACCCCAGGCTGGCCTTGAACTTGCTATGTAGCTGAGAATGGCGTGGAGCTTTTGATCCTCTTGTCTGTACCTCCCAAGTGTTAAGATTACAGGTGTGTACCACAGTGCCTCATTTATGCAGTGCTGGGAACTGAACCCAGGATCTTGTGAGTCCTGGGCAAAGCAGTCTATAGCTGCGCTACATCCCCAGTCCAGATCTTAGTTACTGAGAAGCACAGCTCCTTGGCTGGAACCCAACAAATTCTCAATGAAGTTCTCAAGATTTCTGTGTGCATCCTACATTCTGCGGGGCCATTGTGTGTCCTCATCGGACTATGTCACATAAGGAAATATTATCCCTGATGTTTGTTGTGGAGAAGGCAGAGGACCCCCACACCCATACTCAGTGAGCATCATCTCAGAAGAGTAGCTCACTCAGCACTTGGCTGGATATGGGTGTACATATTTAAGGTCTACCTCCTTTCCTTTTTTCCTTGACTATAAAGATAACTTGCTGTTCTAGTCTCCTAAATTTCTGCCTTAAAACAAAACTGATAAATCCCAGGCTTCTTGATAAGTTGTGTGTGTGTGTGTGTGTGTGTGTGTGTGCACATATGGACACGTATGTAGGGGTAGGGGGCAGAATGCGTAAAGGAGAATTGAGATTTAGTGTGAAAAGAGGTTGGCCTGACAGAAACTCTGTACCGCTGAGGACCAAGGGACTAGGTTAGAAATGAATCCCAGTTCCTGCAGAGATCTGGCAACCTACTCAGGGCTGTATCCAACATTCTCTGATATCACCAAGGCAGGAGGCAGATGGAGTCTTCAGAACCAATGAATTCAAAACTCCGTTTCACACTCTGGGACTCGGCATGACTTCACTGCACACCCAAAGGTCAGCCAGCACCTTTCCCTTTACTCACCATGATGTCAACAGCTTGAAAAGTTGTGTAAACTCCCCCAGAGCAGGTTGGAGATAGTAGTGTCCCTTTTCATGGGGCTGAGGGAGATGACAGAATGCTAAGGGCTTCTTACCACAGCATCTGCCTCTGTGCATCCAAGATAAGATCATGTTGACCTGGCCATGTCCCCACACCTTTCCCACCCTCCTGAAAGTAGAGCTGACCTACATCCAGAGCTTCAGGAGATTAACAGGAAATGGTTCCAGGATTTGCCTTGATTCCCTGTGTGGTGCTGTGTAACATCTGATTAATGAGAAGTAGGCTTGGTTTGATAGGAAACAACATGCAGATACCATGTGGTTAAATCATATTTTATTTTCTCGAGAGAATGAAGACAGAGCATCTATTCAGAATAAATAGTAAAGGCCGTATCTTTACTCACAGGGTGTGAGACTCCAACCCCAAGGCCATATTCAATGTAGATCCATCTTCCTCTCCCAAGGCCCAGCTTTTGTACATGTGCATCAGGCTACAAAGGTTCTGTATGCACCTGGCTAGCTGCTGAGACCTCCTGATAGAGTGTTCTGCCTCTCTTTACTCAGGGCGATACAATGGTACAGACATTGTGACATGAACAGAGTCCTCAA